AGACATTATATTCGAGAGGCATTGTTTTTGAGCTGGGAGAAGATTAAAAGACAATATTACTTAAAAATTCCATTATGGATATCTACCATTGAAGCTTTTTCTTATCCAATAATATATAAAAAGGAACAAACAGTTAGATATGGTGAGATATTGAATGAAAAGGGTGAACTTAAATCTATGCAAGCATTGGAAGAACAAAGTATAAAAATGAATTGGTTTTCATATTTGCAAATACAATCTAGATTTGATAAAGATCTTAAAACAGAAGGTGTCTATGATAAGTTGACTGATTTAGATAAAATTTTGATGGGTACTGATGAAAAGGTAATTAAAAAACTCTATAGATATTTATTAGAATTTAAATTAGAGGAAGAACAAGTTAAAGAAACGATGATTGCTTGGGGGAAAAATTTTGGATATGGGATTGATTTAGAGAAATGGCAAAAATTGTGGTCTCAAAATTATAAAATGACAATGTCAACTGCTTATAAAGAAAATTTGTATAAGATGTTTTACAGGTGGCATCTACCCCCGACGAGAATTGCCAGAATGTTTAAGAACAAATTGGATAAATGTTGGAAATGTCATCAGGTACCTGGTTCATATTACCATATGTGGTGGACATGTTTGGACGCAAAAAGATATTGGACTAAGAAAAGAGGAATCCTTTTTAGGGATAATGGGTAAAGCATAAATTTTTTTAAAAAAGATTCTGCAAGGTACACAAGATGGTACTGTAACATTCGTATTAGAAATAGAAAATTAGAATGGCTTAAGAGTTAATAAGAAATTAAAATGTTGAAATGTTTAATAATGATTGATTTTTAAAATGTAATAAAATATTGAAGGGAAAGGCAATGAGAATGCTATAAGATTTATTATTTAGATTTATTATTTAACTACGTATTTAGGAGGATATTACCGTATTTGCCGGCGTATAAGACGACTTTTTTGCCCCGAAAAACATGCCTCCAAGTGGGGGGGTCGTCTTATATGCCGGTATATCCACTGCCGGCTTTCGGAGGCTTGTTGGACGCAGCGAAGGCGCCTCTGGCTTCCTGGATCCCCTGCGTCGCTTCCGCTTCATCCCGCTCGCCTCGCTCCGCCCGAGGCTGCAGCCTTCCCGCTCTTCCCACGGACCCTGGCACTCTGCCCTGCCGCTGCAGCCCCGGGGATTTCTGGAGGGCGTTTCCGGTGGTGGTGGGGGGTCGTCTTATACGCCGGGTCGTCTTATACGCCGGCAAATACGGTATGTATTTAAACATTTTTGATTTTTTACTCTGTTTTTATTGTTACTAAAAGTAAAAATTAGTAGATAGAATGTACCAAGCAGAATCAAATTGGGTATTAGGTGTTATTTTAAATGTTAATTTAATTAATTTAGGGGAAGGATAGAAAGGCATCATACTCTGATTAGAGATTTCAGGAGAAATTCTTTTTTTTTTTTCAATATAAGGAAGGAGATAGAGGGATAATAAAGGTTGGGCAAAAGATATAAATATAATGATTTAAATTAAGATGGATTGAATAAGAGAGAATTATGAAGAGTGAAATGTATGGAGAAGTTTATATGGAAGATATAGAATGGTAAATAAAATAAGTAATGATCTGTAAGATGAGCATGAATATAATTAAAGCCCATATAAAGAGAGGTACCTGGGGCCAAGTTACTTTACTAAAAGATTTTTTATATGTATGTTTGTGTTTGTTTATGTCTTTGAGAGTATTGGTGAAACCTTGTAGAAACATAGAAAGAGAGCGATGATAATCAAGTCAGAAAGAAATTGATGAAATAATATAGAAATGTATTGTATAAGATAAGGTTTTATCTGACTTGTTAAATCTATAATGGAAAAAGGTTCAAATATGTAATGGTTGATGATGATTTGTTTGTTTTTTGAAATTAATAAAACTTGCTTAAAAAAAAAAAAAAGATATTGGACTAAAATCCACACATGGTTGGAAAAAAATGATAAAACATCATATAGACTTTAAACCAGAGATATTTTTATTGGGAATTATACCGGAAATATACAATAAAGAACTGAAATTTTTGATTGTAAATGGTTTAACAGCGGCTAGAATTGTATTTGCTAAGAATTGGAAAAACGATAAAATACCTGTGCAGGAGGAAGTTATTAAGAAAATTATGGACTGTGCTGAAATGAGTAAATTGACATTTGAAATTAGAGAACAAGAAGATAAACAATTTTATATGATATGGGATTTGTTTTATCAATGGTTGGATAAAAAGACATGGTAATGTAATAGACTAGGAAAGTTTGTAATAGAAGTTTAATAGATCGATATAAAATTTAATACAGATATATATATAACCATTGGATGAAAGTACAATATAAATTTCATAATAAAATCTAGAATATTTCGTATAAAATGATGGAATAAATAGTTTTGTCATGAATGATTAATAACTGATAAATATATAAGCATGTTTGACAATGTGAGAATTTATATAAACTGTGAGTCATGACTAGGAAAGGATAGCACAAAAGATTTGTAACCAACTGACACACTGTATGTATATAAAATGGAAGATGGCTTTATGTTTTTATGTTTTGTTTGTATATGTTTCTCTTAAAAAATAAAAAATATATATAAAAAAATGCAAAAAGTATTTCAGAGGGATACAGCACTATTGAAATTGCTAAGAAATTGGTGTGTGATCACAGAACCATGAAATGTTTTTTTGCAAATAGTCAACAGTGTCGCAAGAAGCGTGTTGAGAAAAAAAGACACACCTTAACTGCCAAAGATTTGAGAAGAATCAAACATGAAGCTACCAGGGACCCATTATCCTCCAGTGCTGTCATATTTCAGAACTGCAAACTACCTGGAGTGCCCAGAAGTACAAGGTGTTCAGTGGTCAGAGACATGGCCAAGGTAAGGAAGGCTGAAACCCGACCACCACTGAATAAGACACATAAGTTGAAACAGCAAGACTGGGCCAAGAAACTCAGATGCCAGCAAGGTAGAGGTGGGGTACTGGTATGGGCTGGTATTATGAAAGATGAGCTAGTTGGACCTTTTCGGGTTGAACATGAACTCAAAATCAACTCCCAAACCGACTACCAGTTTTCAGAAGACACTTTCTTCAAGCAGTGGTACAGGAAAAAGTCTGCATCTTTCAAGAAGATCATGATTTTTATGCAGGACAATGCTCCATCACGTGCATCAAAGTACTCCACTGTGTGGCTAGCCAGTAAAGGCCTTAAAGATGGAAGAATAATGACATGGCCCCCTTCCTCACCTGACCTAAACCCTATTGAGAACTTGTGGGCCCTTCTTAAATGGGAGATTTATGGTGAAGGAAAACAGTACACCTGTCTGAACAGTGTCTATGAGGCTGTGGTTGCTGCTGCACAAAAAGTTGATCGTCAACAGATCAAGAAACTGCCAGACTCCACAAATGGCAGGCTTATGACTGTTATTGAAAAGAAGGGTGGCTATATTGGTCACTGTTTTTTTTTAAATGTCAGAAATGTTTATTTGTACATTTTGAGTTGTTCGTTTATTATTCTCACTTTAACAAATGCAAATAAACAAGTGAGATGGGGAAATTTTCATTTTTCATTTAGTTGCATAATAATTCTGCACACTAATAGTTGCCCAATAATTGTATACACATATTCTCCTAAGAAAGCCAAAACCTCACTTTGACTGTCTTAAATATTCAGGTTTAAGGTTTATTAACATTTTGGATTGACCAAAAGCACTGTAGTTGTTCAATAATAAAATTAATCCTCCAAAATACAACTTGCCTAATAATTGTGCACACAGTGTATTGTGCAAAAGAATCAGCCACAGAAAGCATGGGGAATGTTTGCAGTTATGGGGCTGAAAACTGTCTTGAGAGAAATCCAGGCAAACGTAACAATCATAAGATACTATAGGCCTTTTAGATCTACCAAAGTCAACAGGAACAAGTTATATAACTAATTTTATTGGGATTTGAATCCAAGTAGTACCACTAAAATCTTATAGCAGATCAAGAACAGCTTCTGGGTCCTTTTCATCAGGCTTCCAGGATCTATCAAGATCACGCTAATAAAATAGGAAAAAAATAAACTATGTGCTATGCTTCCAAATACCTTCCAAACTGGAGCAATTCCAATTATACAGAAACATTGATGGTGGATGTTTATTTGTTGTTTATTTAATAATTTGTTCTGACTACCTTTAATTATTTGCTGACTACCAAACTGGGAAATAATTAGCACGTATAACTATGGAACCCTTATTTGCATAACAGAGTCAGTGTTTTGTTCCAAATGTGGCAGAATGATCCCTTGTGGTCAGGGGTGGTATGCAAATATTTTTTACTACTGGTTCTGTGGGCATGGCTAGATGGGCGTGGCTAGGTGGGTGTGGCCATGTGACTGGGTGGGTGTGGCTTCTTTTTTGCAGCACCCTCCCACGCTCGGATTTTTTTGCCTCCTGGGCCTCAGGGAAGCCTCCTGGGAGGCGGTTTTTGCTCCCAGAAGGCTTCTCTGAGGCCCAGGGGGCCTAAATGGAGCGCAGGGGTGGGGGCAGCGAAGCAGTAAGACAGCGAGGGGGATCCCGGCACAGCTGATCGTTGGAACAGGTGATCATCAGGAGGGGAAGAAGAAAAAAGAAATACTGTAAGGAGTGACTGGGCGGGACAGGGTGGGCGGGGGACAATGCAGTCAGTGATGCGCGTGATGTCACGCATGCATGATAAGGACTGACTTGGGCGAGGAGGGGCAGGCGGAGAGGGGCAGGGCCAGCCAGGGACACAATTTGCCAGTTCTCCAAACTGGGCAGAATCTTAACAACCTGTTCTATAGAACCGGTCCGAACCGGTAGTATCCCACCCCTGCTTGTGGTACTTAGTAGCTGTGGTCTTCTTTGATTGTATTCTTATCATAATGAGTAACTGGAAACATACAATCTCTGAAACAGGTAATTTGATATAACATAGGCACAAGTGCACAAACCCACACACAAAAAAGAAAGCTTACCTGTTGCGCATCTGCTTCAGACTCGAATGTAATAAACCAGTTGTCATTATAGGCAAACTCACAGTTGATGAACTTAGGCAGGTTCTCACCTTTGAAGAGCGCTTCAACTTCCTAAAATAGATAGATAATGGATGGAAGGACAGACAAGGTTGGAGAGAAGGGTTCATTGAGAAATACACCCAAAGACTGATTCACCCGCAACTGAAGCTGTATTATAAGTAACTGTAAAGAGTATCTAGGATCTAATCTCATTCTGCTTAATTTCAAGACAGACTATGAAATACTAAATAGTAAAATGCTCTAGGTATCCTCTGTCTTATTAGTATTTTAGTATTCTTGTAAAATTAAAAAATGCACCTCTATAAGCTTTGCTGTTGAAATAATATACTTACATCAATTGGAGTAGATTCGGGTACCTCACGTAAAATTACAATGCAGCGATTTTGGTTTGGCCTGACTTTTTCACCTTTCTCATCAACTTGGACTAAAGGCAATGCTGAAAAAAGGACAATCTTGTTGCTTTGGTATCAACAAGTAGAGTTCTGTTTTATTTTTACTAATTTTAACACTCTATTAACCAATAGGAGCATTAGATCAGTTGTTTATTAAAAATACGATTCCCCATTTTAACCCTTCCCAGACAAGTTCAGAGCCATGATCTACTGTATATTTTGTCTAATTGAAATATGTTTGAGGAGTACATAGCAGATTGCCCTCTCCTTTTCCAGAAGGGTCTTTGTTCTCCTGTAAACTACAGTCTGATCTCTTATACAGGCAATCCTCATGGTACGACAGGCCATTTAATGACATTTCCAAATTATGACAGAAACACCCCCCCTCCCCAGCTACATATGACCCCACGTGAACCCAAGTTCCAATGGCTGCAGTGGGCCTGCGGTCATTTGCCCTTACGAACCATTACAAGGTCATTGCAGCACCTTCTGCCTCTCCCCTCCTCCCCACATGCCCATCATGGCCCACATTTACCTTTTGAAGCTCTCCTGACCTCATGTTGTAGAAGTAGGGCAGGCCATGTGTCCCAGGCTGCGATCCAAATATGGCCATCATTTTGTCCCACCAGTTTGTGGGTGGGACAAAATGTCGGCCACTTTTGGAACTGTGCCATGCAATTGTGTAAATAAGGAACTCATTCCAGCACTCTGGAAGGCCTCAGAGCTCTTCAAAAGGTACATGAGTTGAAGGGTGTTTGACTTGGTGGCCTAAGGCCTGGGAGGACCCAGTGGGAGTGGGAAAAGGCCTGTTGGAACCCAAGGTGTGGGAAGTGGAGCATGGGGTGTCTTGAGGGTGGTTGCGGCCTTGGGAGGGCTAGGGCAAGTGGGTCTGGTCTGTACTAGGCCTTCACCTGCCTCCCCCACCCAGGAGGCACCCTACCAGTGGTGGGCTGCTACCGGTTCAGAATGGTTCTAGCAAACTGGTAGTTCCGGTAAGCAGTTGGCCCTGCCCACCCGCCCTTTCCTGTCCTATATTTTCCTGTTTTTTTAGCTCAGCTGATTCGTGTGACACAGCGGATTGCCGTGCCTCAGCTGTTTTACTCAACAGCACTGACATAGAAGGTAAGTTTTTAAGCTTAAAATGGGTGGTTTTTGAACACTGCGTGCGCTCATCAAACCAGCTGTTAAACCGGTTGCAGCCCACCACTGCACCCTACACTCCACTTTAACAAGGCTCTGTGACACATTTGGGTTAAATGAGAGGATGTGGGATAAAGACATCTCTCTGGAAGATTGTAGTTACTTCTGCCACCACCTAAAAACTACACCGAGGCAGGGCAAGTTTGTGTACCATCCAGAGGGCTTCTGGAGGGAAGAAGATAACGCTGACTTTTCATACTATAGGCTCACCCCTGCCACTATACCATTAAACATACCCAATGCCTAAGGTAGAAATTATCTTAACTGCTCTACCTCCATGTCTAAATTTAAGTATTTAGCAATAGTATTTAGGCTTATATACTTCCCCAAAGCACTTTATAGCACTCTCTGGGCAGTTTATAATGTATTTGCATATTGCCCCCAACAATCAACCTCAGAAGGATGGAAGGCTGAGTCAACTTTGAGCCACGTCAGGATGAAACTTCAGGCTGTGGGCAGAGTTTGCCTGTAATATTGCACTTTAACCACTGCACCACCACGGCTCCCACTTTAAACAGTGATGCACAGCTGTTCTGACTTGGAAAAGGGGCTTTGGATGGGGCCGAGGAAACCTCCTTAAAGAAGCTGTGCCTTTTCCTAGGCTTGATCCATAGTCATTCAATCTCAGAAAAATATATATGGAGATTTTCAGTCATCCAGATCATGGTTCTCCCAAAGGTGCTTTTTCAAGAGGCAACTGGACTTTCTGCTTTTTCTTTTGTTTCTCACTTTTTATCCAAGAAGCTTCTTCAGCTCTGACTAGATTGTGGGAAATGGAAAGATTTATAATCCTTGCAGACAGTTGGTCATTTGTATTCTTTTACAGAGTCCATTAAGGTCACCTAGAGGTTTATCTGTGCCATCAGGGTCACCTGAGTGGTGCAAATGGGAGTGGAGCCTTCTTGGAACTGTTGAAAGGACTGTGTTGTAGACTGGAGATAGATGTTGTATCCTCCCCCCTCTGTTGAGAGAGGGCTGTTCAATTTTGACATAGATGGCCTGTTTGACACCTCTTTCAAACCAGCGGTCCTCTCTGTCCAAAATGTGGACTTTGCTGTCTTCAAGAGTGGCCTTTGTCTTTTAAATGCAGATGAAGTGCTGAATCTAGTCTTGATGGGTTTGTTCTCCTATGTTGTGCCATGCAGTTATGAAATGGCTGTTTTATTTCCCCAGTGTACAGATCTGCACATGGCTCACTGCATTGTACTGCATATATCATGTTGCTCAGTTTGTGTCTGGGTGTTTTATCCTTGGGGTGGGACAAGCTTCTGCCTGAGTGTATTCTTGGGTTTGAAGTGTGCACATATGTTGTGTTGGCTGAAGATCCTCCTGAGCTTTTCTGATATTCCTGCAATGACAATGTTGCTTTGTTTATTGTTCTCATTGTTTGTTATCCATATGTTCTAAGAGCTTCCTTGATGTGTTTTAGTACTTTTTCTTTCCCATCTTTGCTGGTAGGTAGGTCTTCAGCTCGGTGGTGTAGTGTTCCGATGACTCCCATTTTGTGCTCCAGTGGGTGGTGGGAATCAAAATGTAAATATTGATCTGTGTGAGTGGGTTTTCTGTAAACTTCAATGTTAAGCCTTATGTCTTCCTTAATGTGTACTGCACAGTCCAGGATGGTTACACTATTTTCCTTAACATCTTCCCACGTGGATTTGATGTATCTGTCCACAGACTTGATATGTTTGGTGAATGCTTCCAATTACTGTATTTTGATCTTGACCCAAGTATCACCCACATACCTATACCAGTGAGTGGGTGGAATTGCTGTGAAGAAGTCTAGGGCTTTGGTTTCTACCTCTTCCATGTAGAGATTGGCCACAATGGGGGACACAGGTGAACCCATGCCACAGCCGTGTTTTTGTCTGTAGAAACCTTCACTGTATTTAAAATACAGTTGTGCTCGTAAGTTTACACACCCTGGCAGAATTTATGATTTCTTGGCCATTTTTCAGATAATATGAATGATAACACAAAAACTTTTCTTTCACTCATGGTTAGTGGTTGGCTGAAGCCATTTATTATCAATCAACTGTGTTTACTCTTTTTAAATTGTAATGACAACAGAAACTACCCAAATGACCCTGATCGAAAGTTTACATACCCCAGTTCTTAATATGGTGTATTGCTCCCTTTAACATCAATGATGGCTTGAAGTCTTTTGTGGTATGTGTGGATGAGGGTCTTTATCTTCTCAGATGGTAAAGCTGCCCATTCTTCCTGGCAAAAAGCCTCCAGTTCCTGTAAATTCTTGGGCTGTCTTGCATGAACTGCACGTTTGAGTTGTCCCCAGAGTGGCTCAATGATATTGAGGTCAGGAGACTGAGATGGCCACTCCAGAACCTTCACTTTAGTCTGCTGTAGCCAATGACAGGTCGATTTAGCCTTGTGTTTAGGATCATTGTCATGTTGGAATGTCCAAGTACGTCCCATGCGCAGCTTCCAGGCTGATGAATGCAAATTTTCCTTCAGTATCTTTTGATAACATACTGCATTTATGTTGCCATCAATTCTGACCAAATTTCCTGTGCCTTTGTAGCTCACACATCCCCAAAACATCAGCAATCCACCTCTGTGTTTCACAGTAGGAATGGTGTACTTTTCATCATAGGTCTTGTTGACTCTTCTCCAAATGTAGCGTTTATAGTTGTGGCCAAAAAGCTCAATTTTGGTCTCATCACTCCAAATGACATTGTGCCAGAAGGTTTGAGGCTTGTCTCTGTGCTGTTTGGTGTACTGTAAGTGGGATACTTTGTGGCATTTGTGTAGTAATGGCTTTCTTCTGGCGACTTGACCATGCAGCCCATCTTTCTTCCAGTGCCTCCTTATTGTGCATCTTGAAACAGCCACACCGCATGTTTTCAGAAAGACCTGTATTTCACCTGAAGTTATTTGTGGGTTTTTCTTTGCATCCCGAACAATTTTCCTGGCAGTTGTGGTTAAAATTTTAGTTGGTCTACCTGACTGTGGTTTGGTTTCAACAGAACCCCTCATTTTCCACTTCTTGATTAGTGTTTGAACACTGCTGACTGGCATTCTCAATTCCTTGGATATCTTTTTATATCCCTTTCCTGTTTTATACAGTTCAACTACCTTTTCCCGCAGATCCTTTGACAATTCTTTTGCTTTCCCCATGACTCAGAAGCCAGAAACATCAGTGCAGCACTGACAGCACAGGGTCTGTCAGGAGTCCAAGAACTCATTTACCTTTTATACACACACACTAATTACAAGCAAACAGATCACAGGTGAGGATGGTTACCTTTAATAGCCATTCAAACCCCTTTGTGCCAACCTGTGTGCATGTTATCAGGCTAAAATCACCAGGGTATGTAAACTTTTGATCAGGGTCATTTGGGTAGTTTCTGTTGTCATTATGATTTAAAAAGAGTAAACACAGTTGATTGATAATAAATGGCTTCAGCCATACACTAACCATGAGTGAAAGAAAAGTTTTTGTGTTATCATTCATATTCCCTGAAAAATGGCCAAGAAATCATGAATTCTGCCAGGGTATGTAAACATATGAGCACAACTGTAGGTAGTGGTCAAGCAGAGGTCCAGCATGGCACATATGTGGTCTGGGCTGAGGTTGGTTCTGTCACCTAAGGTGCTGTCTTGTAGCAGTCGTTTTTTGACTACCATGACAGCTTTGGTAGTTAGAATGCAGGTGAAGAGGGAAGTCACATTATAGGAAACCATGGTCTCACCCATCACCCATCACATCAACAATTCACAGGACTTCGCCAGCAAGGTTTGGATACTAAAACTGGACTTGGATGAGACCATGCTTTGAAAGAGGGGTCAAAGAGGCCATCTATGTCAAAACTGAACAGCCCTCTCTCAACACAGGGGGAGGGATATGACATCTATCTCCAGTCTACAACACAGTCCTTTCAACAGTTTCAAGGCTCCACACCCATTTGCACCACTTAGGTGACCCCGATGACACAGATAAAGAGATAAACCTCCAGGTGGCCTTAACGACTATAACAGGGGTGTCAAACTCAATTTCATTGAGGACCACATCAGCATTATGATTGCCCTCAAAGGGCCAGTGGCATGTAAGACTATGACGATTCACAGTGGCCAGGTGGGCATGGCTGGGTAGGTGTGGCTGGGTGGTCAGCCGTGGCTGACTAGGGACGGAACAAGGTGCACTGGCTAACTTGACATGGGGACAATTTGGTGCCCAATCTCCTTGCCTCCCCAAACTGCTGGCAGCCAAGCATGTGCACGCGTGCAAACACACACTCTGGAAAAGCTGTAATTGCTTTGTTTTCTGACAGTCCCCTATTCAAACCACAACTTTCTGAAGGTACACTATGTTTTTAAGATTGGAATTGTGGAGCAGTTCTTAGAGAATTGTAATCTTCATTACTGCTAAACTCTGGTACATGAGTTTGTTCTGCTCCAAAAATTAAAGCATTTGATACTGAAAACATGATGACAGCATTTTAGTCAGGTTTTCAGGACTGCATGAAGCTTCTTCATGCAGTCCTCAAAACATACCATCCAACAACATACAATTGTTGGAATTAGGTATGTCTAGTTTAATGAAAAGAAGGACTGGGGTGACATGATAGCAGTCTTCCAATATCTGAGGGGTTGCCACAAAGAAGAGGGAGTCAGGCTATTCTCCAAAGCACCTGAGGGCAGGACAAGAAGCAATGGATGGAAACTAATCAAGGAGAGAAGCAACCTAGAACTAAGAAGAAATGTCCTGACACTCAGAACAATTAATCAGTGAAACAACTTGCCTCTAGAGGTTGTGAATGCTCCAACACTGGAAGTTTTTAAGAAGAGATTGGATAACCATTTGTCTGAAATGGTATAAGGCAGGGCTGTAAAACTCCTGGCCCATGGGCCAGATGCATCACGTGCTGGCCACGCCCACATCCAGTTTAGCTAAGGGGAAAAAAGTCCCAATATGTCACGTGACAACGCTGTGATGTGAGTTTGATACCCCTGGTATAGGGTTTCCTGCCTAAGTAGGGGGTTGGACTAGAGGTGAGGTGAGGTCTATTCTATTCTCTATTCTAATCCTATTCTATTCTTGATGGGCAACTATTTATTTCAAGAGATTCTCTAGATTATTCTGTTCAGAAATGTCTGGTATTTCCTCATCACTGTAATCAGAAATTGTCTGAAATTCACTCACATTTCTGAAACATTTGAGGGTTTTTTCTTCCCCGAGGGGGCGCCCGGCTGCACTTACCTCAAGGCTGCTGCTGCTGTGCTCCCTTTCCTTGGCAAGGTTGCTCATGGTGGGTGCGGGAGGGCAAAGTGCATGGGTCAGAGGGAGGCCCACTCCCTCTCCATGTGAGGAGACCCGGCTTTGTAAGCAAAGTGTCGTCAGTGATAGGATGGGAGACCACCAGCAGAGGCCACGAGAAGGGGGCAAGGGGATGCCGAGAGGGCAGCAGGGCTGCCTCCCTCCCTCTCATTCCAATCTCCTTCCTTCCTTCCCTCACTCTCATTCTCATTCTTATTCCCATTCCCTTCCTTCCTCTGTCCCTCCCATTCCCATCTCCCTCCCTCCCTCCTTCCTTCCTCCTCCCCTCCTTCCTTGCCTCCCTCTCATTCTCATTTCCATTCCCTCCCTCCCTCCAGGTTGCAGCGCTGCCGGTGGCTGTGGCTTTCCACTTGGGGGCAGGAGGCTGGGTGGGGGCAGAAGTTGTCTCAGTGAAAGGGAAGTGCTTGATGGTGGAGACGCTGGTGGCCGAACCTCTGCTGCTGCTGTGGCAGCTTCTGAGCATTGCATATGGAAAAGCGTCCTGGGCGAATCAGGTGTGAGGGCCAAGTGCCTGAGATTGAGGCTGGCAGGTTGGCCGTCTGGCAGAGAGGCAGCAGGCTGCGTGGGGCTCAGTTGAGCAAAAGCAGCTGCGGCAACCAAGGCGCTCGCCACCTCCTGGGCGTGCCCCCCGGGGGAGTGCCCCCAGCTGGGCTGGGGTGGGCCAGGGCCAAGGTTACGAGGGCTGGCCCCTTGTTGTCTCCAGGGCAGCTGCACAGGCCACATCAAACCACATTGTGGGCCGGAACTGGCCCATGGGCCTTGAGTTTAACATGTCTGCACTAAAAGAATGCAAATGACTAGCTGTCTGCAAGGAGTATAAATCCTTCCATTCCCCACCATCCAGTCAGAGCTGAAGAAGCTTCTTGGATGAGAAGCGAAACATCTTCAAAGAAAAAACAAGAAAGTCCAGTTGCCTCCTGAAAAAGCACCTTTGGGAGTCAGAAAAATATGTACAGTATTTGATGGTAGGAGGTCCTGCCAGAGTGCAAAGAAGTCATTTTATCCTGTTATCAACTCCTTAAAGGCCTTCTAACTCCAACACACATTTTTTGACAATACATATAAGGCCCAAAGAAAGGCACTCAATGCACATTGTATTCACGAAAACTGCCATTATTCAGGATAGCTGTTTGCAAGCTACATAGTTCACAAGAAGGAACCAGCAGGCACATATACATTACTTATGCCTGACTCAGTCTAGTGAATATATATGGGTAGTCCTTGACTCATGACTATTTGTTTAGCAATCATTTGAAGTTACAATGGTGTTGAAAAATGTAACTTCCGACTGGTCCTCAGTCATGCGATCACAATCTGGGCACTTGGCAAGCGGCTTGCATTTACAACAGTTGCAGCATCCTGGGGTCATGTGATCACCATTTGCGACCTTCCCAGACAGCTTCTGACAAGCAACGTCAATGGGAAGCCAGCAAGGAAGGTTGCAAATCATGACCATGTGATGTTTCACTTAACCATGATTTGCTTAATGACTGTGACAAAAATGTAGTCAATTTGGGTGCAGTCATATGATGCCTCGCTTAATGACCACACCACTTAACAAATTTTCCAGTCCCAATTGTGGTTGCGAGTCAAGGATTACCTGTATAGAGAGACTTAATCCTGCTATTTTCCCATTAGTGTTTGTCAAGGTGTCCTACAAAAAAATGGTGGTACCATTTTAAGGTACATTGCTTTTCAATGGAAAAAATGAGCTTCCACCTCACCCACCTCAACTAAGCCCTCTTTAATTCTAAATAATGGTGCAAAAATTCCTGGATCAGGAGTTCCTTCCCTCAGTCACACAAACCCTGGTCATCTCATTCTTGGACTATTGCAATGCACTCTAAGTGGGGCTACCCTTGAAGCTATAATTGTTACAGAGTGTAGTGGTGTGGGTAGCTCTTGGGGCCCCTAGAGTGGCCCATGTTGCACCACTGCTCCACAAGCTGCCCTGGCTGCTGTTTTGCTTCCGAGTGCAATTCAAGGTGTTGGTTATCACCTTTAAAAGCCCTGCATGGCATGGGTCCAGGTTACCTGAGGAACTGTCTCACCCCAATGGGACAGGCCCACTCCACCTGTGCTGACAGAAGGGGCATGCTGCAGGCCCCGTCAGTCAAGGAATTTTGGCTGGCGGGGTCCAGAAGAGCTTTTTCTACCGTAGCTCCTGCCCTTTGGAATACTGTACCCCCGAAGTGAGATCTGTTCCCACCCTTCTGACCTTCTGTAAGGGCCTGAAGACCTGCCTCTGCCAGTTGGCCTGGGGTCCCAATGAGGGAGTATCACATTGGAAGTGGTTGATAGATTAAGAGATGATCCCACTTTCCACCCCCTGCACATCTTTCTCCCTCCCTCCCCTACTTTTAATTGTAATTTGTATTTTTATTCGTATCAGAAATATTTATTTTTACAGTTTTGTAAGCCGCGCAGTCACCTTGAGGCGAGATGGGCAGCAAATAAATCATGCACATACACAGAGAGAGTATATTACATGATTTGCCATTACTTACATCGCAGCACTTCAACAATCAAATCTCTATCTGTGCTCAGCTTCCTGACGTGATCAAGGTTAGCTATTGTCATTATTGGCACATACTGATCACTGTCCATCTGAGATATAAGGTACATGTCACTGGCAAGATTCTCTCTGTTGAAGAAAAAACATTACTTCAAAATTAATTCTCCATGCAATTAGTACACTGGCCTTCATAGTATTGCATTGGCCTTCAAGATTATTCCTAAATATTAAGATACAATCATGGTTTTACTTTAAAATGCCTTTGTTTCCAGTGAGATTAAACAATTACAACCAGCCTTGGTTTTCTCATCTCTCAGATTGTAAAGTCCTGATTTTGTTGCACAATTTGACACAGAAAGCCAAAAGCAGCCCATTTTTAGATGCTTTTAAAAAGCAGTAAATTGGATAATATACCAAACTTATGGCCAGCCGTGAAGGTGGCTGGTGGGTTAGATTTGCTTCAGCCAATTTTGTTTAAAGCTACAACTTTATATTAAATGAGTAAACAGTAACTAGGTTACATGAGGAGTGTTGGAAAATTACTGCTACAGTATATACAAGAATTCCAAATGTCTGGCACCTTACATTCAATGATAAACAAAAGAAGGTACAATTATTGAAACATTCCTTTTTAATGCAGAGGCCAGCATACAATTGACTTGCATCTGTTCTCAACGATTAATTTTTCTAAACCTCCGAAATAACAAACTTTCCTGGAATAGAGAACCCATGGAACACCTAGCAAATGGCTGGCAGCTTGTGAAATTGCCTTCTTTTGTGTTTCAGTTGAGGAAATCAAGAAAAGAAAATTAAACAGTTAAACAAGGAAAATAAAATCTTGGCTATTGTATTATTGTCAGCTGGATCTCCAGCATCATTTCAAACCTTTGATGCTTGCTTGATATAGTAAAAAAAAAAAAAGAGGGGGGGGCTGGTATTTGGGTTTGGGAAGTGAGCTGGTGTAATGAAGGCCCATGTGAACTAAAAGGGAGGTTTGCTCTCAAGTATTATTACGCTGCTGAATGGAGTTGTTTACACCCAGTCAAGGCCAACCGTCCTAGAACTCCAGATGGACAAAAACACCTGAAGATGTGCTCCACATGACACTATGCGGAACGTGGATTGGACATTCAGCCTAGGTTCCTGGGAGGGGGGATTTGGGGAAACTTTCAATATGTAATTTTTGCGCCTTTTGGATCAGATCTTGCTTTCCTTTCGCTGCTATCATTTTAAACTCAGTAAAAGTACCTCTTCTCTACTTCAATGGAGTTGGGGGTTTTCTTTCTTGGGTTTTGAACAGAGGCAGGCCTGACACCTTCCCTCAGATTTTCATGCTATAAAATTAACATATATATATCCCTGCCCAATCATGAATTTCTTTGCAGTCCAGAGGCCATATTGGTTATGGCATTCATAATTATTCCACCCTAATTAACATTTAATCTATCCTCTTAATAACAATAACAGGAGGCTCAACTAGATCATATCCATTACATGCTTACCTTGATAAGCAGAACTCCAGTGTTTTTTTAAGCACTTCTCCTAAATCTTCTTGACCTTCTGGCCGAAGGTCTTCTTTATTTCCTAGAATGAAAAACAAGAAATAAAGACAAAAACAAATGCTATATAATTCCTCATAAAAGTAGCAATTTATGTGCCTAGATCAGAGGTTCTCAACCTTAGCAACTTTAAGCTGTGTGGATTTCAACTCCCAGAATTTTGGGCCTTGAGGTTCACTCATCTTAAGTTGCTATGGTTGAGAAACACTGGCCTAGATAGTTTACCCATTATGGATTGTGGTGCTTTCACTACAGTCAAATCCATGAAGGGGGTTTTTTGGGGGTGGGGTGGGGTGGGGTGGGATGGGGTGGGATGGGGGGGTGGTGTCAGTATAGAAATTGTTTACCATTTGTTTCTTCTTATTTTTAAATTTCCTACTCAGACTCTCCAGGAAATCTCCTATCCAAGCATTAACCAGATGTAAAATGCCTCAGATTTTTGAGATAAGTCAAGATATCTGATCTTAGGATCAGATGGTGGCATCACCAGGTGGAATCAGCAAATGTCAATGGTGTTAAGCTACACTTAAGAGGTAATTATGGACCATCCTACCTTTTTAGAAATACTAGATAAAAGAATGACCTAAATTGAACAGTCAAGCAAAAATATATTTAAGAGTCAATACACAATCTACTTATGGTTTCTTTTCAAATTAATGAATAAATAAGTACATTTTTCAATTGGCATTATGTATCTGAAAACAATCAAAGGTCTCAAATACTCAGCTGTTGCCATTCTGAATGCTTTTATATACAGTATATGTAATATTGTAGTAACAGCACCTGAAATTTGCACACAGGAATGTTTGACATGATTGAAAAAATTGTGTCAGCACTCCTGTATGCAGGAGTGGGATTCTACCGGTTTGGGCAAACCAGATGTTAAATTTACATCTGGTTTGCTGAACCGGTAGTTGAACCAACAAGCTGGCCCCGCCCACCCCTCTCCTCCCCTCCCCTCCCCGGAGTCTCCACGCAGCCTTTTTGGATGCAGGTAAGTGCAGGGTCCGTGCAGAGGCTCTGGGAGGGCGAAAAACGGGCCTTCTGGAAGTCCGGAAACGGGCCTGTTTCCACCTTCCGGAGGGCCTCCGGACCCCGGGGAAGGCCGTTTTCGCCCTCCCAGAGGCCCGTGGGAAGCCTCTGGACCCTGGGGAAGGCGAAAAATGGCCCTCCCGGAAGTTCTGGTAGGCCACGTCCACCATGGCCACGCCCACCCAGCAACCAGGCAGTGAACTGGTTGCTGGGATTTTTGAATCCCACCCCTGCCTGTATGTGTCTCGTTGGGAGGAATAGGGTCAAGAAAGCGCCTCCCTATAAGTTCTCAGAGTATATCTTTAATGATGCATGTAGCTTGCTTTACAGGTAGTCCTCAACTTATGATCACAATTGAACCCAAAATTGGTGATCACATGACCCTGGGACACTGCAACTATCATAAATACATGTCATTTGCCAAACACCCAAATTTTGATCATGTGAATGCTGCAATGGTCATGTGAAAACCAGTCATAAGTCACTTTTTTTCAGTGCCATTGTAACTTTGGTCATTAAACAAATGGTTGCAAGTTGAAGACTACCTGTAGTTTGGCAAGATTTCTGTCTATAGGTAAGGAACAATAAAGGAAACTGCTTAGGAAAAACTGTGCGTCTTTCTTGGTCTTTGGGTCTGATAAGATCACCCAATTCAGTTTTTCTTGGAACAGAATTTTTAAAGTACATAAGATTGTCAAAGGTATAAATTCATTGTAGAACTGAAATTAGCAGTATAACAGAATATGTCGATCCACAATCTTCCTTCATATTTACCACCAGAAATCCAAACTCCCAACATTGTCTAGAAGGCAAAAGCTTTCCACCCAGACTGACTCTGGGTGGCTGTGTTATGCTGAAAGGGGGTGGTGAATGTTCACATTTTTAAATACTTTAGCTATGCACTCAGCTTGATACTGAAATGGAAGATGACAGGAAGCAAATTGTTCTTACAGTATGTATATAAGCTGGACAAATATAACAGGACAAGCCAGAATTACAATTAGGTGAATTGTACACATACAGGTGTGCTGATAAAATTATCAATCTGCACTTCCTATTTGAGGCCCTACATCAGGGGTGTCAAACTCAAGGCAGTGCCTCCTCACTCAGTTGAAGGCTTCATTCAGCCTTCAAACAGTAAGGCTGGCACACACCAGCGAGCAGCACACCAGGGCCATGGCCGGCATTGGTTTCTTGCACCTGGCTGATTCTGATTCCATGGCCGGCCTTACTGTTCGAAGGCTGAACGATGCCTTCAACTGAGCGAGGAGGCACTGCGGGGCCAGGCCCTTCACACCCGCGTCCAGCCTGCTGGAGTTTGCCACATTGGGGCAGGAATGAGACCATCCCACGGAGCCCGCCGCCTCTTGAGCAGAGAGGACGACAATGACGAAGACGAGAAGAATGGCAAGGTTTTGCATCAACCAGCTCGCCAGGCAGGGAGCAGGTCAGGCAGTGGTGGCTGGCTGGGAGCAGGGCGCAGCCAGCAGCTTGAATGCCCCGACTGAAGCTGGTGCTCGCCACATCATGGGAGAAATGAGAAGCTCTGTTGTCCTGCAGAACCCACTGCCGCTTGAGTGGGGAGGACGAGGAGAAGAATGGCGAGACTCATGGAGTAGGTCAGGCGGAGCTGGCTGGCTGGGGAGGGGGGGATCGTGGCTGCTAAGATGGCTCTTGCCACCTCCACCAGCAGCTTCGGTGCCCCAGCAGAAGCACAGATCTGTCTCTCTCATACACACACACACACACACACACGTTAGATCGGATTGCTCGCTCTCTGTCTCTCTCCAAGTGCCCCTGTGCACACAGACACCCCATTTGCATCTCATTAAGTAGTTAAGTGGAAAGTAGTTGTGGGGGAGGAGAAGGAGACCGGCAAACACTTTTTCCGCCAAGAATGAAAGTTTCTGGGTCCCTGACTCTCTGCAAAAGAGGATGGGTGCCTGAACCTGTGCAATATTATGGCACTCAGGAGTATCCATTCTCGGCACGAAAAGCATTTCCAAGCCAACTCTTCTCTCAGATGTTTGCAAGGTAAAGTAAGTCTGTGTGGCAGGAAGGGATGGAGAAGCATGAGGTATCTTAGTGGGTCGGGAAGGCCTTGTGGATTTGTTCTATCACTAGTCCCCCCATGGCCTTCCCCACCCTGAGATACCTCACGTACACTTAACAAATAGCACATTGGTATTCTTGAATTGTGAGCTCTTGCGAAAGTATCCCCTCCTTGTGTGTTGCAAACAGCCATTTCCAGTGGGGAAAACAGGACAAAGCAAGTGCGGGAAAATATTTTCCTTTGCTATATTTCCAGTCTGAAGCAGGGTCCCTACAGGAGAGCCCTTTTAAGGATTATGTATATAGAAAAGCAACTAACTTACCCCCATGAAATGCAAGATTGGGATAAACTGAGTCTGGTTTGTTATCAGTCTTTTAAGTGGCCCCAAACTACTAGCAAAAGTGGCATTTGATCACAAGGCAAGTAGGCATTGAGAAATGTTCCCCCTTTTGCATTTGAACATCCAAGAAGGGACAGGAAAGACAAAGAAAAAGAAGGAAAGACGGCAAGAGAGCAAGGAAGGAAAAAGAAGGAAAGAGGGGAAGGAAGAAGAAAGAAAGGGGAAGAAAAAGAAGGGGAAAAGGAAGGAAAGAAGCAGATTATAACGAGAGAGAGTGAGGGTCTGAGGTAAATTCTGCCTTCGCACTTGGCTACCAGCAGCCCTGCTGCCTTTTGCCAGGGGTGGGATTCTACCAGTTCAGACTGGTTCGGTAGAACCAGTTGTTATGATTCTGCACAGTTTGGAGAACCGGTAAACCGCACCCCTGGCTGGCCCCACCCCTTCCTGCCTGCCCACTCGCCCCACCCCGCCCAGTTATTCCTCATCTCACCCGCCATTGCTAACCTGCCTTCGCCCGCCATTGCTGCCTGCTTTCCACTGCGGCCCTGATCTCCCTGGGTAAGTGTGCCTACAAGCAAGCCCCGGTTGAGTCAACTCCTGGGCCAGCCTAAGCCGCTGTGCTGTCCC